TTTTTTTTTTTTAATGGGAACAAGGCTCCAATCTATTCGTGGGGAGCAGCACGTGCTGGGAACCGGGCCCAGCATCCCATATGGAGATTTACATCGAATTTTGAAAATTTGAGATACCGGGGCCATTACCCGGCTTAGGCTAAGAAAAATTGGAGCTACTTAGGAAATTACTACAACAAACTTCAGAATTGGATCAAATTCAGAAAACAACTCAGGAGCCCCCCATCAATCCTCTTTTACCTCACTCCGGCAAGACTTACTGCAACAGAGCCACCATCTCCATTGCTGCTGTACCCTATTTCCATCCTACCAGCTAGCCCCCGCACTAGTAGGACTCTTGATATCCCACCATCTATTTCTCCCACTCGCCTAAAAGACTCAAACACCCCCAATCCGTCCCCTGTACCCCACTCCGGCAAGACTTACTGCAGCAGAGCCACCATCTCCGCTGCTGCTGTACCCTATTCCCGTCCTACCAGCTAGCTCCCCTACTAGTAGGACACGTAATATCCCACCATCTCCTTCTCCAACTCACTTCGGTCTCTTGAGAAAACGTCTGAGCAGTACGAAAAACATGGGAATAGACCTCATAGGTCCTACGAATGCTCAAAAACCCTTGAAATCCCTGACGAACCCTTCCAAAGCACTCCAGCACTGTCCTACTCCCTGCCGAGCTCTTCCAGGTCTCACACCCCCACATCCTGCTGGGTAACAGGGCAACACAACTCACCCCAGCTCCGACCAGCGTCGTCCCAGCAGCAACCCTTAGTTGTCCCGTGGGATGCCCACCCCAAAGCATCCCCAGATCTCTCTACCAGGCCTCATGCTCCTGCATCAGCAGGTCACAGGGCAACACCCCGGCACCGGGCAGCGTCGTTATGGCGTCGAACAGCCGCAGGTCACTGAGTATAACAGCATTGAAGCCACCTAAGAAGAGTTGCTAGGAATCCCCAGAGTCCAAAAACATTCTTAAGACCACCAATCAGCCCCCTTTTTTTTTTTTGATGAAACCGATAAAAGCAGACGTCAACCATTCATCTTTCTTCGACGAGCCGACCTCCTCCACCACATAGTTCGAAGAAGAAAAATAGAAGTAGTCCGCCAAAAAACTTTTGAGTGAATTTTACAAGTTAGCGACAATCCACAGAACCAACTTCCCTTCAACCCTGTCCACTCGGGCCTCTCAGCCATAATGGGGAGGAGCGTGCGTATTTTTCATTGTATTCATTATTGACTTGCCGGGTGAATAGGAACCGGACTGTTGCTCCCCAGAATGGCAGGGGCCAGAACTGAGAGGTTCTGAACTAAAAAA